CCTCTTCAAACTCCACAGGTTGGGAGTCGGGCACCTCTTCGTAGGCACTGGGGAGTTGAGAGTCATGCACCATTCCCTCAGGGCAAGGGCTGCTTGCCACAATAGGATTTGGAGCTGGGTCAGAATCATGGTCTTCAACTTCAACAGCACCATCATCGTCACCCCCACCATCCCCATTGTGTGACCCACCAGACTCCAAATCACTCTCACCACCGGGGTTCCCACCAGCATTCGCACCCCAGGCTGCATCGAAGGCCATCCAAAGATCAATGAGAGCTTCGTTCTCAGCTGCACAGTGGACAGAGGATTTGGACATGAATGAAGGCTTTTTAACGTAGGTTTAGCTTAGAGAAGAAACTGACATTCACTTAGAGGAAATTGGTCTTCCATAATTCCAAAGGTTCACTTCAGGTTCCATGTTAATCTTCCTGGGTGTCGGCATGCCACTAAAAGATTCTAAAAGAATAGACGAGTTGCCCGGGGTCTTCCTGCGCCCGACAACCAACGACGGAGTTGGAGGGTGAAAAGCCGTTTGAGCCCCCAAGAGTCAAGAGCCACCAGACCACTGTCTGGAAGCAGTCCTGACAACTCTCTCCACGCCCTCACCTTTCAGGGTAACCCAGTGAACCAAGAGGAAAAGGTCTCAGTGTTGGAAACCCGTTGAACCACAGCACTGACTAAAGGAACTTTTGACAACACCACGCCTGGTCCCGTAATGTTCCAATTGGAATGGTTTGTGCCTCACTCTTTTGCTGAGTCCACCACGTCCCAATAATTGTCAAAGGGGTAGCGTTGAGAATACAGGCCCGAGTTGAGGGTATGCCCACAAGTTCTGGCTTGATCCACAAAGTGATTTGCGCGCCACTCCGCGCACGTGCACGCACAGCAGCGCTGTCATCCCACATTTGTGCTAGCCCCGGCGGCGAAGCCATAGCTAACTACTCAAGATAAAAGCTTTTGTGACAGTCAGCTGATCCCCAAATGTCTCGGAGCAATGGAGATGTTCAGTGTGTGAACAGAAAGCCCGCATCTTCAGTTGCATTCGGTATTTTGAGTTCAGAGGTATTCAAAGCCTTGAAGAACACAACTGGAAATAAACCAGTCGGAAGCACCGGCTCAGGTTTGAAGATCCATCGGACATCGCAGCGGCTGGAAAAAGAACCATGCTGCCAAAACGTGTACTCAAATCTAAAGCCTGCAGAACTACATGGATATTCTAGAAGCTGACCATTGGTTGAGAAGATCACAATAGTAATAAAGAAAATCTCCAATCAAAATGACGTGTTAGCCAAGTTGGGGAACATAGCTGGTCAGTAGGGCTTGCACAGGAGTGAATATTTACAAAAAATCTGCTCAATCCTTGAAAAAGCAAAAACCGCCGGGAGTTGAAAATTCCTTCACTCACCTCCAAAAGGCGATTCTTATTGAAAGAGCACAAATTTTACGCACATAGGAGTTCGCAGGTATTCTGTGTAACTGCTCATGGGGCGTTGTTTCTTGTACCAATGTTTGCCGTCGTCTGTGTGTGTGGTGTCTAGAAGTCTAGATGTCCAAACCATCCTTTGGATATGCCCATGTCATCACCTGTCCCATTTATACTAAATTGAGCCTCTTCCCAGCGCCCCCCCAGTGCTTAATGTACAATGTAGAACCTTGATTGTGGCAGTAAACCCCCCCCAGGCCTCTTCAAAGGTTTTACAATCCATGTCTGGGGTGAGCTATGCATCGGGATTCTACACCGAGCTATGGGCACACCGCGGTCAAAAACGCCGCAAGCACGACGGAGCCTGCTGCTTCGCAAGTCCAAGAGAAATCCCAGCACCGCAGAGGCAGTCTCTGCTGAGAGCCGCGACGCACAGCATGGAGCATGCGATGTCCCACCTGTGAAGGGCGCAGTGGGCTGCGAATCACTTGTTCTCCTTTCTCAGATTCAACTGTCACATAAGATGACTCATCTACTCCAACTACTTCTTCAACAACTTCAACAGAAACAAGTCTCCAAACACAACTTCTTCATTCTCACCAAAACTACAAAACTTCATGACCGACCCCAAGAACACATGGCCCCCTGCGATCCCGATCCGCTCCGCCCCACGCCTAGGTGCATCGTGTCCAGCGTCAGTGCCGCGCCCTGCTCCGCAGCGTCGTTCCGCCGCGCGAGCCTCGGCGCCGGCGCGGCGCCCAAGACCTCGGTGCGGTCGACCGGGTCGGCGGTCGACGCCGAAGAAGCAATGCGAAGGTCCAGGTGAAACCGGGGGGCAGCCGTGAGTTATATGGGTTATAACCTCGGTGATTCTATATTGTAGACAAGTACTTCAAGTATCTTCAAGTAACATGTTGCATGGGCTGCATGGCCTCAAACCGAGTTCTGATACAGACTAGCATCAATCGTCAAAAGGTGCCTTTTGGTTTATGTGATGTGCATGCGCCACCCCGGTCAGGTCCAAGCAGCATCCAAATGACGTGGGACGGAGCTTGCTCGCAGGTTTCATCTATCTATCTATCTATCTATCTATATGCATATCTATCTTTTATTCGTTGACCATTTGTGGCATCTAAAGGTGTTCCCGGATGTTCGGTATGGCCTCCAAACCAGCATGGCCGAGGGGCTGGGAACCACTCCATCTGGATAAACTCCTGTGCGGCATTGCCCACCTTGTGCGATGCACGAGCGGAAAGTCCTGTCTGCCCTGTGGGTCCTGTGGGTCCTGTGGGTTCAAAACGGTGGTTTTGATAGGTGAGGTATGGTGATGTTAGGTGGTATTTGTGTCAAACCGTTCCTTTTCATTTAGTCTTTGGCAACCGAGATCAAAGGCATCCACATCGCCCGACTTGCATGGCGGCAATTCGACAATTCATAGGCGTCGCTCTTAGTGATCTTGACGCAATCGGAAATTAGCCATTTGGCAACAGGGCTATGGATGGTACAAGGCGGCAGCAACATCTTGCCGGGTCAACTGCTTTTCAAATGACTGGGCGGACCTGCCAAGTACCCGTTGACAATGAACATACTGAGACCCCCCTAATAGAGAAAGCAGTTGTTGTTTGTCTTTTGTGTCACGAAGCTCGGAAGAGTCAGCGCAACCAATTCAAAGTGAGATCCTACAAACCCACCAAAGCTTGTGCGAAAAACGTCTGCACCTGAAAGATTAGCACATATATGACATGGATTTCCAAGATGTTGAAGGTTCCTGCTTGTGTGTGATTCTATCTGAGTCTGTGTGCTTACAGCGAGTAGGCAGTAGGGCCAGTAGGGTCTTCTCCGTCGTCACTCTGGGCCACCCGGACGTAAAGCAGCTGACGCCGTGGAGAGCGGGAAAACGCCAAGTGGTAGAACAGTCGGGTCCTGAGAATTCGGAAAGGCCTGGAAGGCCCTGGAATCCCGACGCATTCGCGTTGGGGAACCGATGCCAATGCACCATGAATGCCATATCTGAGAACTGAATATGTATACTTAGTGCTGGCACGTGCAAACGTAATCAAAACGGACCAGCTGTCAAGAGTGCATCGTCTCCCTGTGGACTTTTCTAAAGGACCTACAGGAAAAGGATACCATCCCATGCCGCTTCAGGGTGCCACTGCAACAGCTGTTGCCCAAAGAGTGGTATGTTGGTGAGGAGGGGTCTTGAAAGCAATTTTATAGATATCAAATGGTGGCCCCAACCTACAGGGTAGCCTAAATTGAAAACCAGCTGACATCAATCCTCAAATCCTAAACTGATCTTGCCTACCAAAGGTCACATTCCACGCATGAAAGTACAGTGAAGCAACGGGAATATCATGTTTCTTATTGTCTGTCTAAGTTTATCTGTAAAACGTCTATATAGTGCGACTTGGTGCCCCAAACATCCCAAAATGTTCCAGCAAAGATCAAAGTTCTTAAACATTCATAACTTGTCCAACACAAAAGGTACCTGGACACATCGTCAAACTTCTTGAAATTTCAACAGCCAAAGCGGAAGCAGGGATAGCACCTCGTGGGTTCCTACTGGCATCTACAACCCTGTCAGGACACCCATAGAGGGCTTGGGTGGCAGGGCCAAAGTCATTTACTACCAGGGCCCTGGAACAGGCCTGGGAACTCCGGAGGAAGTCAGGAATAAGCTTTGGCAGGCGGATGCAGGCGGATAAGGTGTGGCCAAACATTGGGAAAGGGTGGCCGAAGGCAAGGAACCTGCAAAAAAGGGGGCGAGGAGGGGTTTGGAGAGGGATTGGGTGGTGAGGAGGGATCAGGACAACCATTTTACGGAGGGATTGGGTGATGCGGAGGGGTTGGGACACCCATATTGCAGAGGGATTGGGAGGGAAACCCATTTTATAGAGGGATTGGGTGGCAGGGCGTGACTATTTCACTAGGAGTGTAGATCTCCACTGGACCCCAGTAAAAAAAGAGGGTGGGTGTGCTTGGGAGAGCACACACTAGCTCAAAACCCTTAGAAAACACTGTAAATACCGTGCAAAATTTCAAAAACTGCTCTGAGAAACGCAATTTTTTTGATCTGTCTGTGCCCAGTCTCCATGTCCAATGTCAATGACAACAAATAACAGCTCTTCGTCTGCCCACTATCAATGTGCAACACCAATGAGAAATATTATCAGGTGAATCTCTCTCTGCCTACAATGAATGTAGCATCATGAGCGAATGAAGATATAATACTATACATATCTAGATTCAATAGCTTTCCTCTGGATCTCTGGGAAAGTAGATTTCCTAGATTTGTGTATTTTCATTGAAGGAAAGCAATTGAAAGAAACACTTACATACATACTTATAGCTTTTTTAAAATACCATGACTATTTCCAGAGATCCAGAGGAAAGCTTTTGAAATGAAAGCGTTATATTTTTTCACAGAAGTGATCAGATCTAGAGGGAACCTTTTGAATTAGAAGTTTGTACATAAAGCAGTTTTAATATAGCAATGAATATTCCAAGGGATTACTTTAAACAAATACTATCCACTCAAAAACATAGTTTGTGTCTTATTCCCAACACTCCTAGGGCAAAAAACACTGTAAAATATAGGGTTTTGTAACATGTGTGTTCTTAAACTAACTAAACTGGCGTTAAAATAGAATTAGGCAAACTTAAACTAGAAGATTTCAATCAAGATCCTTTTAACATTGATTGTGGAATTTGCTATTTACTAGATATTAGATTGCAATAAAAATCATTTCCAAGTTCTCTTTAAAACTCAATGTGAAAACTAGTTCTTACAATTAGATTTTAGTCAAAGTCCTTTTCAAAGTTAGTGGTGGCTTTGATTTAGTATCAGATTGTGTTTAAAGTCGATTTAAGATCAATTGTGGAAATTGTGATGCTCAACTAACTTGAATTGATTTTGTATCTGTTTGCTCCCCACTACAAGGCTACATCAAATAAAAGGACTTTAACTAACATCTAATTATAAGAATTGATTTCCACCATTAACTGTTAACTGAAAGTTAACTTTCACAATCAATTCTAAAAGGGTCTTGATTGATATCCAATACACAAGCAATTCAATCAAATTATGTTGAAAAGAACTTAAAATAAAATCTAAACAACAAGCAATTTCGACAATGATTTTGAGAAGGACATTAATTGACATTTAAGTAATGCCTAATTTCTACAATGAAATATAATAGGATTTTAATTGAAATCTAATTCAAAATCAATTGCCACAATGATCTTGAAAAGGCATTGAATCGAAGTTGCATTACACATTCATTTTTCTATAATTAATCTTGAAGAAATGTTAATTGAAATCTAATATAAACATCAATTTCCCCAATGATTTTGACAATGATATAAATGAAACTTAGTTTGTAAAAAATCTACAATTAATCTTAAACACGTTTTTAATAGAAAGCTAATGATACATCAACTTCCACCAATAATTCTGAAAGCGTTTAAATTGAAGTCTAATACCAAAATCAATTGAAATCCAATTTAACATCAAATTCCACCGTTAAACTTACATGAGGCAAAAACACAGTGTTTTACAGTGATTTCTTGCAAAATCCTCTCCAAAATTGAGGTTTTGAGCTATTTTTTGAACAATTTTGTGAGATCCAAGCCTGTCCCAATCTAGAGGGAATACCAAAAAAACAATAAACCAAAAAACAAAAAAAACAAAAAAAACAAAGTTTGAGACAAAATGGGGTCACTATTGGTTTTTGGATGTTGGCTGCATTTTGTGTCAAACATTGTTTTTTTTTGTTTTTTTGGTTTATGTTTTTTTTGTTTTTTTGGTATTCCCTCTAAATTGGGATAGGCTTGGATCTCACAAAATTGTTCAAAAAATAGCTCAAAACCTCAATTTTGGAGAGGATTTTGCAAGAAATCACTGTAAAACACAGTGTTTTTGTATCATTTTTTGCATGAAAAACATCTCCCAGGAGCACCCGTTCTGCAAAAAAAAAACTTGATAACATCATAAAGTTCATCAAGGAATTCTTGGGATCTGTGGGCAACTCAGTGCAGGACATCTCAGGTGCTTCTTGTCCCCACATCCAACCGCAGCGCAACCCAGGTGCTTCTCCGAACCTTCCGTGGAGGTCAGAACCCACCTTGGCTCATCGATGGCTCGTCCGGTACCGGAACCCACCGGTGAAGTTCCAGGATCCTTGAGCTCCCCGGGATCCAGGAGCTTCCGTGCGCCCAAAAACGCTCCCCTGGATAGCGCACACATTTGCCCGTGCGCATCGGATGTCGACATGAGAACACTTCCCCCACAAAAGGGATTCCTCGCTCAAATGGGAGATGATGTTCAACTTTGGGGAAAAAGAGCCCGGATTTCTTCCGGATGGTGTTTGGATCCAGCTTCGGAATGCATCCTCCAAAACCCCTTCCCTTGGAACTCTTTGTGCATGTCTTCATGAACTGTTCGTGGACTGTTCGAGCAGCAGCTGCTTACGCCTTCGCCCGAACACACGTCCAATGTTTCTAAAAAGGAGTGGATTCTGGGGAAACAAGAGTTGCATAGAACCACGCCTCCCATCAATGGGCCTCAGTTTGTAGATGTTTGTGCTAGTCTCCTGGCCAACCTGCTTTGAAAGCCTGGCCACAAGCCCAGTGAGCTGGAAAGCTCTAACCTTGCCTCTGGCACCTGGCAAAATTCAATCACGGCAGCAAAAGCTATAACATGCTATAACTATAGCCAAATACCTGTGATGTCTGATGCTTCGCTGGAACTCTCAAAGTTGCGAATTTTGAGTGCTTCACTTCTAAGGGCCACAAGCGGCCCAACACATCCCTGTAGCTCAAGGTTGATTTGAGGATTGGACCCCGAGAAACCACACCACTATCCAACAACACTGTCCGATCGAGGTCTTTGGAACCGCATCATCAAGGATGATTATCGGATAATCAGGGATTCTTCGACCGGCAAACACTTCCTGTACATACTGCAATAAGGGAACAAGATTGAACACAGTCCAGCACCACGGCAAGGGGGCTGTTGATCAATACCCCTGGCCAATACCTAATTATGTATTCTCAACATGTCCTTCCAATCGCCACCCAAACTCCGTGGTGTTGGATGAGTCACTCGACGGACGAACTCGCCTCTCGACAGCAGTAGCTGGGCACTTCACTGCCATCCACATAGCCTATGCGGCATCGCTCGGAAGCCATTCCGCTCGGCATCCCCTTCCGTAGAGACACTACAGAGGTTCCAAGGAGCTGCAAACCACACTGATCTTGGGAGCTGCGAAGAACAAATGAGAACCGCTTTTGGGGTGCTTTTTGCTGTTAGGCTTCCCGGGCAGGGGGCTCAAGATTCTGGCCCTCGTTTAAAACATTCCAAGGATTCTTGATGTTTGGGAGAGTCCTATCCACAACAAAGTCCAGGTACTGGACGCAGCACCAAAAACACCAATGGCCCAAGCTGGACGGGGCCATGAGTGAATTTCCAGGCCATCGCTGGCGACAACGGCCGTCCTCCCTCGCCCCATTTGGCCATCCAGGCTGCGATAAACGCCCGCCAGTCCGGAGCCATTGACACCCAGCTCGACCTCTGCTGGCAGCTCGCCCGCGTGGAGCTTGCGAGGCCGCTTGCGCAGCCAGCAGGGAGCAAACTCCTTGGGAAGGAGGCCGTTTTCAAAGGCGGTTCATGGAAGGCCTTAAGATCTGGTAAGGTGCAGGAAAATGAGTTTGCCACGAAGTGGGTCCGAAAAGTGTGTCTTCCTCTCACATTGTGAATTGTGTGTTTCCTTGCGCTAAAGAGTTCGGTACGAACCCAAGTCATTTCTGGATAGAGCAAGTGCTTATCCTTCCCACATGGGTTCGCGTCTGTGGTTGCTTGAGCTGAGTCATCAAATCTGCATTTTTCTGGCTGCATAGAAAGCAGGTTGAGTGGTGTCCTCTCACATGCCGGCAGGTTCCTTGTTGTGGCCTAAGATGGTAAGAAATATCTATAAGATTCAACATATCACGATGTTGGAAGATTTTTGAGACAAGCTCCATGCATCAATGTTGAACGTTTTTTTCAAGATAACGCATGCATTTACTGATCATTTGGAGTCATATACGCTGCAGGATCGACATGGCGGTGGCATGGAAGCGGTGATCAGAGCACTGCTTAGAAAAAGTGCTCGGAGAGCGGGTGAGCAGAGTTAGGCAGTTTAAGTAGTCCATGTCGACATGTACTCGTTAAACCAGTCTCCAGGGTCCGCAGGGATATATATATATATATCCGATATGGCAAACCTAAGTTGCGGGTGCAGAATTTGAATTGAGGACCACAGGCTTCGAATGCTTCGATGTCCTATGTCTCTCCACTTGTTCCGGCAGTAGCGGATGTTGATTCGGGCTCATCCCGCCCGCCACATGCTTTCAGCAATGGTCGAGGGCTTCTGGTCTACTCCAAGCATCATGGGTGCAAGTGGCTTGTAGAGCTGCCAGCCAGTCCGCATATTCATCCGCCATGGCCCGCGCATGACCGGGCCAAAGGAAAATAGCCTGGGGATGTTTTCCCTTACCTGCTGACTCCATGTATAAAAGTATCTAAAAATATTGTTGGCCCAAATGATGTGAAGAATTGTGAAGATGTGTGAAGCAGGAGTTGATCACAAACCTCAGTGCAAACCCAGCAGATCCACCTGACCCCAAAAAAACTTATATGGCACTATGGATCGCAAAACCTCTGTTCATATTCTGTGAGCTTGTTGAATCTGCCTTTGTCAACAAAAATGTACTACTTGATGTTCTTCTATGGCGCTATGGGTCACACATCTCTGCACCCTTCTGATTGCTTGTTGGCGGGGCTTGCTTTTGGCCATCCAAATCTGCTCTGTCTCCTTTCACTCCATGGCCCAGCTCACCTCTGACCGACCCCTGCCGAGCCCTGAAACAAAAACATCGCGTTCGCGCGTACGCCCTCCCTCTCGCGGTGGGGCGAAAGGACCACCGCAGGGTCCCAAAGTGAAAGCTCCTCTGACATGGCCATGATTTCAATCACGAAACTAGTGGTTTCTCATACTCTATGCATGGTTGATGTCCCAAGTCTGACTGAGACCATACTAAACCACAAGAACTTCTCACATTGAATGGTATGCGTGTAGATAACAACGGTGTTTCATGAAAAGGTCAGGGTAGCCGTGTTTGGGTACAAACCTGTAGCACTCTAGCACATATACATCGCATCACCACTGCTGTCTCTTCATCCATCTCTTGTGCAGCTCCCCCCAGCCTACACAAATCCATCGCCCCGACATGGCTCAGCTGTGTTGCCTGTTGTTTTCTCTGTTTTTGCTGACGAAGCTGTGTGGGTGAGCTTCTTGCATCTGTGCCACCTGAGCTTACTACTCAAGGAATGCGAAAGATCCGGTGGTCCGACCCTTTGATGTCCTTTGGCATTGCCCATCATCTATTGATACAGCATCTGATGTTCCAGTCAAGCTGTCCTGGTCCCGGACATCAGGGTTTGGAGGGTCGTCGGTCTATCTACCTTCTGAGGTAGTTGGAGCCCACAAGGAAAGGACAATGATGCACAACCACAAATGGTCATCAATTCATGATACACAAATACGATCAAACGAACGGAATAGACTCAAGTCCCCAGGCCCAAACCTGCAAGCGGCATGTGTCTTTGAGGAATGGTACATACTAATTATATGTATTAAATTATACATCTTGTGGCTTTATATGAAAATGGATGATAATGGTGGATCTCATCTCCAGGTGCCGGACCACGGGCTCAGGAAGGTGACGCCTCAGCAAGGACCGACCCAGTGCAGCGGCCTTTCGGGCTGAGCGCACCACGGAAAACGCTGGGAACAGCGTGTTCCGGCCCTTTGGGAGCCAACATGAAGCAACCAGCATTGGAATCATGGACCCATGAAGCTACAGCTACAGTAGTCTATAGTCTATAATCATCTATAATCTATATATCATACTCGCATGGCTTTTGAGGAAGTGGATCATGTTCCTTCTACAGAAGGTCTTTTGGGGAAAGGTAAGCATCAAGTTGTCTGGAACCCACAGGAGATCCCTCTCACTCACCACTGTCAATCACCCAGATCCAACTTGAACGACTTGATGTCCTCTGTGCCCCCACCGGCCAGGGCCAAAGTGGTGGCCATTAAGGCCAAGCCCAAAAGGCATGACCTGGACCTGTCGGCACAAGAATTCAAGAAATCCAGGCGGGCAAATCCATAATCCAATATCTCAAGAGGAAAGGTGACCAAGGAGGTTTCAAAGCAGGGCATGTCTGGTCGCGTCTGGGCGAGCAAATGAAGCAAATCAGCTGTCGGAGTCTTGGTTGTTTAGAGATCAAGAGCTGAATTGGAGGCTGGGGCTCCGGTTCTTCTCCTAGTTTCTGTTCTTATCACCACAAGCCTGTTTGTGGATAGGTTGGAGACCATCGCTCGTTTCTAGGTTGGAGGCCATTTCAAAAAGGGGGGGAGGCCATCGGGATCAGTGTACAGTCGATGTTGAAGTTTAGAGTCACCATGTGCGCTTGGAGTTTCAATCTGTCTGAGAACTGGGAACTTTGGAGCCGCTGAGCGGTGAGGCAATGTAGCAAGCAACCTCCGATCGGCAAGTTCTGTAACCAGCTGTGTTGGGAGCTTCAGGCAAATACACCAAAAACACCTTCCTGCAAGCCCACAAACAGATCCGATGCATGGGCCATACTTGTCTACATTGTAGCGACCCCCGGTGGCTGCACACGGTGAACCTTCTCAACCCCAGCCCTTTGTGCCATTTCCTCCGCACTCAGTCTACACCCGGCCACCCGGTCAGTCTCAGCCCGGGCATCGGGCAATTCCGTCCGGCTCGGCGCAAGAAACCCAAACGAATTGGGGACAGGGGTCGGCCGCGTTTTTGGGCGGCAAAATGCCTGCCATGGGTTGCATGAAAACAGAGGGGATGCAAGTGACGCAAGCCGCCATTGGAATGCCAGGACTGATGTAACCTATGTCATGTAGTGTTGTCCAATGCAACCCATACATGCACATGCACTTTAAAGATTTAGAGCACAAGTCGGCGGCGGTTGATCTGGCCCTACTGCCGCACTGCCATCCGCTGATGACACTACAATCGCTCACATATTGAGTTGTGGTGACATCAACAAGGTTCGAACCCCCTCAACTGGGTCGTTAGTTTCCTTGATTTGATTGAGGGCATAGCAACAAAATGTAACAATATGCAACAGGTGTTTGGGAACTCATCAGGCATCAACTGCATCTACAAAAAAGTGTTGATGATCGGACACCTCCCCTCTGACAGTAGCAGTTTCTATCAGTCAGAATCACTCCCACACATGTGAACCTTCGCTGGACCCCATCACAATGAAGTGGTGCAAATCAAAACGGAAGCGTTCTCATGAGGGATTTTGTTGTGAAAATGAGCTGTTGAGGCCACTCGTCTACAGCCTTCTCTCACGACACTGGTCTACATGAATGGACCCGGGACGTAACTGCTCGCAGTGATAGGCCACTCGTCATTTGGGATATTGAAGTTTTGGCACGGCGTGGAGTGTGGTATAGTGGATTGAGAGTAGATGCCACCAATGTCCAATGTCGGTGGTTTATATGGACCGCAATCATTCTATTAAACAGCAAAAACTTGAGGTTTGTGTCATCTACTAATCTACTCTTAAACCACTGCAAGGCGGATGTGGATCCTTGGATCTTCTACTCATCCATTCGATTCGATTCGTCTGCGCAGCCTGGGGCCAGCGGGCCGACGTCGCCACACCCACGTCTTTAGCGTATGAGGCGTAGCAAAAGGTCTGCAGCTACCACCCAAGCAAACTCTGCGCATGATTCCTCTCTTTGTGGTAGCTACGCTGGTCTCGTGGCTGCGTGTGGTGGCAAATCAAGACCAATTTACTACCGACCAGTGTATCACTGTGGATTTACTACCAGTGTGTCTCTGTCATATGCACATCGACCACACATTGATGACAGTAGTTGCTTGTCAGTTTTCATGATCATTTTGTCAATGGCACTACCTAACAAACAGGTGTTATAACCCATGCAGCCCGGCTTGCAGGGAGCTATGTGAAGCAAAAACGACCCAATCCTCTTGAAGGTCTGACGTCTTGCTGAACAGCTCTTCTGCTTTACTCCAAGTGAACAACCATGGCATGACCGCGGGACACGGCGAAATCTGCAGGACTGTTCTTTGTTATGTCATGTTATGTCCCCGAGAGATCGTGATAGCGGATATCGGTTTTGGGCTCCAATTCTACAAACCCTGCACATTATTTTTCAGCCTAGTTCAAAATAACGCACAAACTCGGAGATTGGGAAATGACCTTGTTACTAATAGCTTCTTGCTCCTAGTAATGGCCTCCAACCTAATAGCTCGTGCCACACGTCGCGCCACGCGGCAGGATCACTACAGGGTCGCCATAAGCGCAGGGTCCTGGCGCGTGAGACCCACTGTGGTGAGCCAGGTGACCGGGTTCGGAGGGGAATTCCCCGGCCCGAATGAGCTTTAGATGGTTATAGATCGTTGGTAACAACAGTCGTCTTCAAGATTAGAAGAAGCATACAGCACCCCTGGTGCTCAATCGAAGGTGAAAAGCACTGAACAACATAGCTCCTGAATGCTGGTGAACACAAAACACTTTCTTAGTGCTCGTACTGTTCATGCATCCTCCTGCACCGCTGCACACGCAGCACACCAAACGGGAGGTGCCAGGTGTTCCATGGTTTTCCATGGCTTTTTCATGGTTTTTCCGTCAACATCATCACTCTTCACGGAGAGCGGAAAACCAAGCACAACATAGATCAACTCATCACTCTTCATCCCAAACACCTTGCTGTGAAAGCATGGCCCAAGACTCGAGGCCCAAAGGACACAAAGGCAGCGCAGTGTGCAAATCCACCTGGGTGCCCGAACGAATCGAACATCCCTGGGTGAATCGTGCACCTTCCGTACAGCTGCGTTCGTGTACAGCGGCCTCTTGGAAACACCCAAACTCCAGTCAAAGGGTATAGGGTATAGAAAGATCATTATATAATATTATATAGAAGATCTAGAAAGTATTAGACAGTGATACCTAGCTTCGTCGGCCTCAGGCGATGATTGCGTGCTCATATATACCTTGCTACTCAAGACCGCAATTGCAATTATTATTATTGGCTACAGCAAGTGAATGTCTCCCAAAAACTTCTTCCCTTGTCCTACAGGATCCTACAGGTGCTGACACAATGACATGACCCACAGCCGAAAAGGGGCGATATTGTGAGCTTGCATGTTCCACAGTTGTTTTGGGAGAGTCGCCCTGTTCTTGTTCTACTTGAGGATTAAGGCCCCCTCTCAGAGAAGGCTAAACGTCTCTGCAAAATAGAAGTCCAAGCAAACGACTTTGAGCACCCCTCAACCACACTCCGGTCACCACAACTGGCGAGTCTGAGCTTCCAACTTTGGAGGTGAGTGGAAAGCGTTAACCACACTCCCCCGAGCCGAGCAAATGCGATCGTCTAAGACATCCAATCTAGCAAGGCAAGGCACGCCAGGAGCACCACAGCAGAAAGAACATGTCCAAAAATGCTCAGCGACTGAGCGAGACGGTGGGCATGCAATCGGAGAGTGGGACCTCCCTTCACACTTCATCTGGATGAGGTTCCTAAAACTGACGTAACATTTACAGTAAGTTTTGATATACCAGGGGCGGAAGATGGGCAACCTGACAGCGTTGCATACTCACTCTCCGGGGTTTGGTAGCTGACATACACCCAATGTGACAACACCGTGGAGAAGCGCTAATTCGAACGACTAGCTAAAGCCCCAAAAGAACAAAACTTACGGTGGCACCTTTCAAGTGGACTGTAACATGCTGTCACTGTTAAACCACAAATGGACTCCTTACTCGACATCTTTCGTGCAGCTCCTGGTGACTATGTAAATTCAATTCGGAATTGCTATGTGTCCTGCAACACGCGGATGCCCTACTGCTCAAGGACATCTATAAACATGTCAACATGTCCTCATACGCCTCATATTTCCTCTGAGGTAACAATGAATTGGATGATGTTAAAACATGTTAAAACTGGTTTCCTCCTAATAACTTCTTCAGCACCGCAAAGCGCCGGGCACAGCGCCTGACAGGTCAGGCTCGCTCGGCAGCCGGGCAGGATCTCCGTGGCATTGTGCAGGGTGGCAAAGCCGAGGCTTCCGAAGGACAGGAGGAAGACCAAAGCGTTCACTGTGGAGCTCAGCAAGAAGGTCAAGAAATCCAAAGTGGCACACCTGCTGGAGTGATTGACGAGTTTTTTCCCGCTAAGGAGCATCAAAACATGATCAAAAGAACTACAGCAATGGAGGGACGGGCGGCGAGTGGAAAGAAACGACTGGAAAAACAACAGGTTTGATAAAATATTGTATTTGCAAAACACCTGGAGCATATCTAACCAACGGTAATTGATGTTGCCCTATCCAGGGTTCACTGGGTGTGTGTGTGTGTGTGTCAAAATTGAGATTGTCCCAAACACGGACGTGAAGTGTAGCCGACTCGTTGATGAGCGCTTGGTGTAGCAACAATTGCCCAACAAGTTTGTGGTCAGCTCTGTTTCACACACCTCGTCCTGAAAACCCTCCAGAGCTGCCTGCAGCTGCGACACCCTCCGGTGCAAAGGACGAAGAATACCTCTAGCAGCAAAGCTGCAGCAAGTGCCGCAGGCGCTGTCGCATAGACGAAGAGGTCGGGTGGCGCGCCGCCGGCGCTGGACAGCTCGGCGGCCAAAAATGGCGCTTGGGGCAAGAGCGGCAATAAAGCCAAGGATTTGGCCAGAAACCTCGGATAAGCAGTTTGTAATCCAATCATTTGGATATGTAGGAGCAGTACTGGAAGAGAGGCCTGAACGATCTGTCTTCGGGAACGCAACACGCGTATTTACTTGCAAGTTGAACCGCTTATGATGAGACCCTCTGAGTACCGGAGGTTCCAAATGAGAGGCAGCAGTTGGCGGATAAGGACGGATAAAAGGGTCATTTAGAAAGGTACATTGATTAATGTCGATTATATTATTATACCTTGAATATCCTTAAATACTACCTTAAATCAAAGGCACTATCAAGGCATGTTGCCCCTGTTCTTCCTTAGAATCATAGCATGTTAGATGTTAATGATTAATGAATGTTTATGGTGCAAGTAAAGGGTAAGGGAAGGAAGGTTAGGAGCAAAGGGACGCTACTAGGGGCTCCTGTCATCGCTACTAGGAGCAAGGACGCTACTAGGGGCTCCTGGCATCGCTGCTAATTGTTGCATACAGAATCAGCAAACTTCACACTACATATATGTATGTATGTTATAATCAACAAGCTCTGACAGTGTTCTTTCCACTGTTCGAATCTTGCATTATCATGCATTCTTGACTCTTCAGGCTTTAGGTTGCACGTCCAGGCACTTCGACCGCTTCTCCATCTTTGTCCTCTCCGCCGCCCGTCGTTCCGCCGCCACCACGGCCACAGCCTGCGCCACCGCGGCGCAGGGCGCGCCCACTGCGCGGGGCTGGCCGTCGGGATGCACGAGCAAATCCACCCAGGCGGAAGCCACGTCACCTGAAGTGGAAAGGCGGAGGAAGAGGTCGCTGAACATGCCTGGCTCGACTACAAACACTAGGATTCACCAATGGATACCAATGGTTGACACCTTACCAAACATTTGCCGACTGGCAATCACCAATCATTTAGAGAAAAGGTCTGGCACCAACCTACACGACCCCGCACGCCCCATGGCGCCATGAACATCCTCGTTGATCGTCATTCATCGGTTTTTCACGGTTTTTCGCTTGACCCCGGAAGACCCTTTTCATTCCTTGTCTCCTGCTCCCAACATCATGATGCATCTGACTCCTGCGTGCAACCTGTGACTCCTCCCCGGTCCGGCGCTGGCCTGACGAGGCCCATCAAGGGGGCGGGGGAGTTCCATCGGTGGAAGCCCCAAATAAGAAGGAGAACTTGGAGTGTCCCAAAGGAAAAAGACATGTCCAAGGCGCTGGTTATCAAATTCCACTCCAGGTCTACCTGCAGCTGGGCTCCGCTCCGTTTCAAACAGTCCGCTAAGGCCAAAGCTCCTGCAGCCGAAGCCGCGTGCCAGTCTGTTGAAAAATGGTGCGGCAGACAGAAACCAGCTGGAAGCAGGGTGTAAATCTGAAATGGGGAGGGAGGCTGACAGGAAAGCAGGGAGGTCTATTCCACAAGGTGGTCAGAAAGTCTCAAACAAATATATAATTGGTCCACGCATGTGCCCTCCAAAATGGGTCTAATTATGTGAGCAAGTGCCTAGTATAGTTCTGTATACATTAAATTTACATGGGAACTCAAGTCCTGCGAAGCTACTTAGTGCTGACAATTGCCGGTTACTGCAGCTTCAACTCCTCGTTCCTGCTTGGAACACCTCCCAGGCCATCCCAGGCCCATAGGCCATAGGCTCATGAGTTCTTCCCCACCGTTTCCAAGTCATCCTGGTACTCCTCTCCACTTCAGCTACCGGCTGCCCCCCTCACCGTCCTGGGTTCGCGATGCGGTTCCCGCGCAAGCGCAGCTCTTGGAAGCTACGCCCGAAACGCTCATCGAGGCCCGAAACTCTGCTTCCACGGCGCCGCAGCAGCAGCGCCTCGCCCAGTGCCGTGCAGCCGCGACAGCCGAGTTCATTGAAGCTCAGGTCCTCGAGGTGGTGCTGGGGCGATGACTGGATCACAGGGCGAGCAATTCAAGTTCCAATATGACATTGGTATGACATTGGTCTATGACAACACTGGCTCAACCAACCTAATTGTTTCGTCGGAATGGGCACCCTTTTCTGCTGCTAGGACGTGCTCAAGAGTCATGATCCTTTCACCATCTAAACATGCAGTCACTCAACACCTCAATCTTGGGAGTGCCAAACACCGTACAAAGAAACCTTGGTTCAGCAAACCTTCAGATCAATTGCACAACAACGTGTCTTCCTTCTCATCCGAACATTCACCCAAAAACATCAGTTTTGTGTAACGTGGCACATCACGGTACATCCAAGTCTCTCAGGAAATCTCACCCAAGAATTGAGAGCTCTGATTCCCAAAGCCGTTGATGAAACTGTCCATCTGCCACCTGCATGGATAATTAAGGGCATGGTGCTGCCACTAAAAACGGCCCCCCCCAGCTGAGAAAGTACCCACCGCCAACCACCGCTCCACTGCTGACAGGGCGCCAGCCACCGCAAGGGCGACTGGCAGCGTGCCAAACCCAAAGCGAGTTGCTCAGCGTCTGCGTCGCCGAAGCAGTTCCTCGCATGCAGTGGAGATGCTCCGTCCTGACCTCCTGACGGGTCTTACCTTCGACACTCAGAGCCCTACAACATCGTTGGGAATCATGCAAATCCAAAGCCCAAAGCAGTTTCCGACTCAAACAGCTCATGGGGGTTTACCCACGTCCCCAGTCGACCAGTCGTCTCACCCCACCAGTTGTCCAGCACCGCATATCGCCAGGTCTCCTGCTGAGATTCAGGTCTCGTAGGCTCAGCGTCTCGCCCAAGAAGCTGTCTAAACCTTCGTGCGATCAACGATCTCCAAAACAACAAGAACTCTGGCTTCGTACATGTAGAACCATCTGGGTCATTTGTAAAAACGATTTGGAATGCCCTTGCCAGCTGTTCTGCTGCCATCCAGGGGGGGTCATGATTTGGTGAGCATGGTGCCTATAGTTGCTGCGTTCGAACACTACTTTGGCAGTTTCTGGTGTACGTGAAGGACTTCCAAAGTTCCTCCCAACACTCTCTGCCACAGCAAGCTTCACATTGCCCAAATTCAAACAAATCCTCAAGAAAACGCAACAACATGAATCGAATTGAACAATTGACATCATCAAATGCGCCAGTTGTGAAGGAACTCCTCACAGCGTTCCACTCCGAACGCGCCAAGTCGCCATGAAGACTCAAAGCATCGTTGGCCTGCAGGTCCAACTCTTCGATGACCAGCGCCGGGTTTTGCAGCGCCACCTGTTCTCAACCGCTGGCCCCGGAAGCATGGTGGGAATTTCGGCACCTGGATCTCCGAAAAAATCGCCAAAGGTAATCCAAACAAACTTACTTCGAGGTTTCAACATCCGTTGGGCGCCCTGGGGGCTGGCCTCCATCCGCTGGGTGCCACTTGCTGCAGGGAATCTGCAACATGATTCGCTTTGCTCAGCTTGGGTTGGGGACGAGCACTGAGCACACTATCTATCGTGGATTCTGATTGAACATGGGCAACAGCTTAACAAACACCAACGCACCAAGAAGAACAAACTCACAACCAATAGTCAATAGAGCAGTGACCACCAAGCCCACAACCACGCCCCACGGTTTGGACGCGTTCCGAGCCCAAAGAACGTGCGCACGAGACAGCATGAATCTGAAACAAACGAGCACCGAGGTGCAAAGAACTCGTCAGAGAGGCGGCTGGAGTTCACCGCCTGGAGCGGAAGCCACTGGACTTAATCCCTGCGAGTAAACAAGGTTTCGACCTGCCCAGAATCGACCATGCCGACAACAGGCACGAACAGCTATGAACAACTATCCGGCGTGTAAAGGAAAATTGGAACATCATTCATCTTCTGAGGCTATGTTCCACTTACATGGTTCTTGGAGAGTGGGAAACAACACTGCCATTGGGTTGGAAACCATGTACGGTGCCACACCGCCAAGCTTACCCGTCAAACACAGGCATCATAAACACCCAAAACCCTGGCAGTAAAAAACAACACCACCACAAAAACATCTCTCCACCACTAAACTAAACCAACTAAACCATCCAACGCGAGTGAGTTCCTTTTCACGGGCCATGTGCTTTCCAGCCGCCCTCCACCTCTCCACCAGGGCACGAGCTTCTGCAGCCGTGCGTAGTAGGGTAGCGAGTCGCACAGCACTGGCATCTCCGAGCGCGGCAAGCGGCTCAAGACCAACTCGTGAGCCTCAAAAGGCTCGTCGACGCACATGATGACGCATGTGTGAGCCTTGGCCTGATGGGAGGATAGTTAGGGAGAAGGCGGAGAAGAACTGTTTTCTTTTTCGTTTGGGGTGCTGCTATTGGGTCGTAGGCGTGCTTCATGGATACTGCGCAAGGCTCCAGAGTTGTTACATGATGTAAACTGCTGATGCTTGCCAACAGAATTCAGTAACTCAGTCATGTGTATTTCGGACGATCTACTTCCAGCGCATGGTGCGCTGTCAGCTCTCTTTTAGATGTACCCAAGTGATAGCCCACTTGATCCACTCCCCTCGTCTCTCTCTCGCGCGACTCTCCACCATGGCCTCCCAAGCTTTCATCAGGAAGACCTTCTCCTGTAAGCGGGTGACCGCCTCCTGGCATCGCTGAAGCCGGCATGTCCTCTGAAGATCCTGCTGTCTTAGCCAGCTTGTTGCAACCAAAAAGAACTGGGTTTTGAGATGAGCTCCCCCCCCCCCGAAAGTGAAGCTTGACTTTACCATGCTGCACCATCTTTTCTTAACTGGTACAGGGAGGCAGTATAGTAATAATATCTTGATACTTATTTCAGTCGCGGGAGATACTATACTAGACACTAGTTGCTCTACAAATTCAATCAAGACTCACCTAGCAAGCACCTAATGTCAGGTATATCAGTCCTCTTTCGATCCCTCCAAATCTCTCCCTGAATGGGACCTCACCAGCCGTGACCGCATGGCGTGCGATGCGGTCACGGGGTCCTGGTCATTGCGGTGAGTGAACTTCAATGAGCCTTGGGCGATCCGTGTCCTGGGCCGTTCGATCACCCGCTGCGTGTTTGCACCGTGTCCCGCTGCACATGACCGCGATGTTTCTTGCGCCCGGAAGGTGGCATGAAAATGCATGAAGCACTGAAGAATGGACCGTGCATGACTGTGGAACAGGGACAGTCCGAGAGGATAATACTTATAATACTCTCACCTACTCTCACCCTGCCCCAGAAGGGGCGTGCATCGCCGGTCTTTGCCTCGCGCCAAGTGTCTGGAAGGTCTCCGGCGTCATCGGCGCCTTCCCCGCCTCGTCCGGCAGCGAGGGAAGGCCGTCCAGCAGCACCAGCCGCGCGGAGGAGCAACGCATGGACGACCACTGCGCCTCCGCCTCGAGAGCTGGAGAAGCAAAGCAAAGGAGGTGAATGACCGAAGAAAACGAAGCTGGACCTCAAAACCATCGCCACACATATAAAACACAAAAATAACTATCACACAATTATGGGCACTCCTGGTTTTTGTGCACATGCATGTTTTCATTCTGAACTGGATGAGCAGCCTAGCTCTGGTAAATCAAAGCCATCCAGCCACCTATAAGGTAAATTGCTCACAATTTGTCCTTCTTAATCACTCGTTTTCATGGTTTTTCCTCTTAATCGTTTTGAAGAAGTCAAGTTCAACTGAACTCCCCGTGGAAGAAGCTGCAAGGCGTTTTTTCTCCCCGCGCCATCTGCAATCTGCCATCCCGCCTGGCACCAGCCCCGGAGCTCGTAAGGCGTTCGGTTCATGTTCAGAATCAGCCGCTTCAGGGGCACCCCCTGCAAACGTCCCTGGCCCTCGGGGTGCTCCGGCCAATAGAAGACCGGCACCTGAGGGCGCTAGCGGGTGCCAGGGAGCAAATGATGCGTGGTCTGCGCAGCAGGAGTCCGGCTGTGGAGATGGCATTTGGATGGGAGTAGTTTAGGTGACATAGAACAAGGAAGGGAGTGACAATTCATGACAATTTCACAAAATAGCTGTGCTTAGTGCTTCCAGTCCACATCCCCAAATCCTGTATATACACATTGAACATTAGTTTCGGGATTGTTGGAATGTGAATTTGCATGAATTTGCCTTTTGCATCAACAACTGTGAGTCGAAAAGGAAATCCATCCTTCCATATGGAAGCAGTTGGCGGAGCCATGCGGAGCCCGCAGGCTTGAGTAGCTGAGGGGGATGAAACTGTGAAGCAAATACAAGTAGTGTTGAATCATGTTGAAAACCCTCCACCCTCCACACAGTGCCAATACAAAAGCGTCCACCCTCCACTCTCCATCGCCTCCACATCTGCGCCCTCCGTCAGCAAGTGCTGAGGCGTCAAGCCTGCAATCCTTGGAGCCCAACAACAAAGAACTCATACTCTTCTTAGTCCTTGACAGGCAGCAGGTCTGGGGCGAGCAGTCAGTTCCAGGTTTCTGATGAGAGTTGCCAACAGAACAGCTAAGGACCGGGACCCGCCGGGACCCTGTGAGGGAAACTACATTGCATCAGATTGCATTTATATACTTTCGCCCCGCCGCTTGATGAACGTATTCTACCATGTTCAACAATGATCGACTCTTGGACAAGTGATGACAAGATATGACAAGTGGGAATTGATTTGGGGTTCGACGCGTTTGGCCCTGCGATATGCATGTGGCCCAAAGTGAGATCCTCGTTCCCCCGCTATGACAAATGATGAAACATGATGAAACTACACGGAGTTTAATACTGCAGAATACCATCCGCCCTTTGTGCAGAAATGCAAACTTTGTACAGTCCTTACGTCTCTTACAGTCCAACAAAACGCTCGACTCATGAGTTTTGGCAGTAGTATGGAAGGGAGGAGGTTCCAGTGTCCAGCGGTAGACCATGCCATTTTTCGCCAGGTTCATGTTCATACTCTTCCTTTAAGCATGCCCCCCCCAAATAAAGAAACACCTTCTCCGAAGACCCCATCTCACCATTCTCCCTACCCCATCGACCGGCCGAGGATCTGGTAGGTGTAAGTGAAATCGTGGGAGTAAAGCCTTGGCTCGGCTCCGGCCCGGCCCCGTTCTGAACCGAAACGCGTTGCCTTGGTGACCGCGACGCAACGACTCAAACGAGTTGCGGTGCGATGAAGGGTGCCATCGCTCCCATGGTTTGCCAATGGTCACACACAAGGTGAACACCAAAAGTAGTTCAAATCGCTCACCCAACACACCAAACGAACTTCGCTTGAAACTCATGGGCGCACTATGGCGCATCAAGGATGGAGCTAAACATGCGTGATGCCTGGGATGCTTTGAGACCCCTCGGCTGGGTCGGAATGGGGATCCGCGTTGCCGAGTCGCACGTGCATCTGCCGCATGACCTGGTCGAAGCACTGCTGTTCGCGGTCGCTGCGGGCGAATTGGTAGACCGACCTCAAACAGCGCATGGCAGCTGGCGGTTGGCGCTTGGTGAGATACAGTAATTAAGTTATAGTGTTTATTTCATGGCACTGTGTGACAGCAAAGGGCATGGATTGCTACAAAATTCTATCAATGGATTGGCTATCATTCTCCTGGTTTCTATCCTGGCAAGCCGTCGGCTATATATATAACTATATATATATATACATTCGTCTATGCATATTTTCCTGATACGGTGCCGATCAACTGGGGGCTACCTATGCGACGCGAAGGCCAAGGGTTTGCAAACCTAGAAGAACTCAACCCGACTCAACCAAAAAAGTATTCCAGCATAGACCTCAGATAGCAAAAGCACGCAAAAAAACATCTGGGCTGCACCCTGCATTGGCAGCAACTCCAATCTTTACATGCAATACAGCGTGGCGTGTCTCCATTACGCGCACAGCCAGCGCCAGCACCCGGCACCAGCACCCAATCTGCACCACGCACACAACGAGCACCACCAGCACCAGCGCCCGGCACCAGCACCAGCAACCTGCCTCCACCTTGTGCACAGCCAGCTCACAGCACCAGCGCCGGCACGCGGCACCAACACCAGCAACCTGTCTCCACCTCACGCACAGCCAGCTCACAGCACCAGCGCCAGCACCGGCACCCAGCACCCAGCACGCCTCCACCACGTGCACAGCCAGCTCACAGCACCCGCACCGACGCCCGGCACCCAGCACCAGCAACCTGTCTCCACCACGTGCACAGCCAGCTCACAGCACCAGCACCAGCACCCACAGCCAGCTCAGAGCACCAGCACCGGCACCCGGAACCCGGCACCCGGCACCGGCACCAGCAACCTGTCTCCACCACGTACACAGCCAGCTCACAGCACCAGCACCAGCACCGGCACCCAGCACCAGCAACCTGTCTTGAAAGCGCGCACGGGTAACTCATTGTTATTTGAAGTAAGAACCCCATAGCTTCGCTATTTGGGGAAAAATAGAGGAGAAGAAACAAACAACAGAGAAAAAAGGGGAGGAACAAACTCTGTGGGCTTCGCCAAGATGAATGACAATATTAATATTGACTTTATGCTGCTTTCTAACAGGCTTCAGTAGCCAACTGCTGACCAAATTGGAACCATCCAAATCCATCCAAACCCCATACCAGGCACTCACACTTCTCCAAAAACAACTCCACCTACAATGAACCTTGAACATCTTGAGCCTTCTCCCAGAAAGCTCCCCGGCAAATCATCTCCTTGCTCCTTGAGCCCTGTCACATATAGTCGATGAAGTACCAGGAGAGCCGTGCAGGCCACTGGCGCGCATTCACCAGGACGCCCAGTTGATGGCCCAAAGGGTCTGGGTGTTCTCCTGACCAAAAGGTGAAGGACATCAGCGGTGGAGGGAAGGGTGGATGCAGGGAGGTGATGGGGAATAGAGATGGATAGTAGAGAGTATCAAAATGTCTGGAAGAACTTGGAAGAACTGAACAAATGTGGATCTGACATGTTGGGCAATTTGCTATCCGAGTCAACAAGCGAATCTCGGGCGCTACAATCAATCATCTCCTATGAGCTTAGGGAGGGATATTTTCCCTTGAAACCTGACCCACAACCTGATGATCTGGCGCTTGGCACAAACCTTCAGACCACCCCACAACCTGCAGGACCTTTCAACCGGCCCCCCCTTGTCCGGTGACCACTGAGCACAAGATTGGGGTCTGCTGGGTCGAAACATGTCGAAACGGAATATTAAACAAACACGAACCTCTTCTCGGGGCCTTCGCCTTGTTCATTCAAAATCAATCGCTTGCACTGAGCCTGAGTCACACAACGTGTGTGTGTGTGTGAAACCCTTGGAGTCACAGGGAGTCCTTCACTAATGTATTTTTCTTTTAGCCGAGGGATGGAGAGGACGTATGATGACGTATGAGGTTCCATCCAACGAAGCTCCTCATACGATCCTAGGATATCATCAGGGCCGCCTGATGACGTACCTGCTTTGCGATGGCTCCACTTCTTACTGGCCCTGCTTGTCACTAGAACAAGATCTTGCTTTTGTCTTCGGTTCTGCAGTAAGGTGCTAATGAGCTCGCCTGTCGTGTTGCAATGTTGGATCTTCAGCGTTCGTCATGGTTGAACTCCGCTCCATGTATTTGATCTGGACATTATATATATTAGATCCCTATCCCTTAGCAGGGGGGGACCTCAAAAAATGTAACTTACATTTAGCCCTTTACATATACCTGGAAAAATGTAACTTACATTTGTTAGGCTTTTTATGAAACATGTAACTTATGCAAGTTACATTTATTCCAGGGAAAATGTAACTAAATATGTAAAAAATGTAAGTTACATTTTTTCAGGTCTAGGATGGTCCAAGGTAATACTACGCAAGACTCAGTGAGGCTGCTGGAAGAGTACGGGGGCTTATTAAATGTATCTTTCAACCTCGCACACTCCAAGTTACATTTTTCACACACACACACACCCCTCCCCCCTCAGGGGGGGGTCCAGATAATGTAACTACATCCCTCGCAGGCAGGTTGTTACATTTTTAGACCCCCTCCCCCCCCCCATATACCTCAATGCCGGGCCTGGGGAGGGGTAAGTTACATTTTTCAGGGGGGGGGAGGGGGAGGGAATTGGAAGTTACATTTTTCAGCCCCCCCCCCTCAAATCAATGGTTAAGGGGGTGGGGATTATATTAGGTTTTTCACTTAGGTTGGCGTGTGGCAAACCGCGATCGTCTCAGTACGCATCATCTTGAGTGTGTGATTATATACATGTTCGTACAAACATGCGTGATGAGCCAACCCCTGCAAATCTGCATATCCTCCAATCCAAGGGTCTTTAGACCTCAAGTCAATATCCTCCTCCTCTCGCGGGTTCAGTGCGCCCACGAAGCAGCTGCTGGTCCGTCGTCCGGGCGCACCGGCGGCAGAACCCCCGTCGACCTGAAGGTGAAGGTCGCTCTGCCGGAGGACCTGCGACAGCACCGAGGAATGCAAGTCATGTAGACGACCTGAAACGACTCTCTCCAAGACTGGTGACCAATGGATGAGGGACCGGACGAAAAGCACGGAGGCAACGCGACATGCCGCGGAGACAACACATACATGCATGCACAAAATAAGGCTACCTATACGGATGTCCTCAAACGATTGATGTGACTGTATATGTCCTACAGTGATTTCATGTTGAGGCAAACCCCAACAGAGAATGTACACTGCGGTCCATTGAGTTCCGTGGGGCGGTCCATTGAGATCTGCGGAGAGGAGTTAGGATGTGAACTCGTCACCGTTCCTAGGAACTGCCTGGGCCACACCCGGGCTGAGCGCGGGCTGCCGGGATACAGAACCTGCAGCGTTTGGACGTACATGATGAAGCAACAGATTCTGAGGCTGCATACTGAAGAAACCACCCATGGCCCAGGCCATCCTGAACCCATATATGAGAACATTCCAAACCCTCTTATATCCTCCCTGGCAGGGTCTGACTTTCAGCAGATGGAAGTGGAAAACCACTGGTTTGTAGAGGTCAAAGGTCATCCAAAAGACCATTTTCCACTTCCACGATGTTTCCAAGGACCGCCCCACGGAACTCAATGGCGCCCCACAGAACAGCAGCTTCGCTATCCGCTTCCAACATGGGTTCGCTCCGATGGCTCTTCGGTTTATGTCGTGGTTTTCTTCGTCAACCTGCAGTCTTCCACTGCTGTGGCTGTTGGAGACAGAGTAAAATCACTCCTGGCATCTCTTTTTCTGACTTCATGCTCCGGATGGTCTTTGGATTCCAGCATGATCAAACAAATACAATTGCTAGGCATCAAACCGTCCCCTTCAGAACTTCAGCCTCTTGTGTGTCCTCCTGGCGTGGAGGTCGGGTGGTGTCATTGGCTGTGGCACCCTTTGCCACGATAGCCTATAGGATGGTCGCTGGGAAGACTATTGATCTGAATGCAAAACTTTTCACCAAAAGGAGTGTGTAAGGTGTAGAAAAAGGGAAAGTAGCTATATGTAGCTATTACGTTGTCCAAGGAGTGTTTCACCAGAATAAAGCACAGATTGAAAGTTGCCATATAAGAACATCTATAGGAACTATAGGAACTATCACCTGATCAATGCAGAACAGCACTACAAAATACTACACGTAGCTTACATGTTTTACAGTTTTACACGTGAAATGCAGGAACAGCACCATGAGACATGAACACATGCCAACAGCCAACTGCAAAATAGACTTGGCGCCTCAAGGTACCCCCAAACAAAGGGCGTGCCGCAAACTCCAAACAAAACCCAGCAAACCCAGCCAAACACGTACCCCACCACCCTGAAGGAGACTGTTGACAAAGTAAAACAAACCAACACAAAGAGGTTGATAAATCAGCAGTCTACATTATGTGTAAGCCTTTATCCATTGCCGCTCTCCTCCTCCTGCAGTGGCTCCGGGAAGCTGGTCTTCTTCTCGCTGCAGCAGTTCTCGCGTCCCAGCAATGTACATGGCAACATTGGTGCGGAGCCCAAACAGCTGAGGATGAGGATGGCCGTGGCGAAAAGGACCTGAAACACCGCCAGCGATCCGAAAAAAAGTGGTCAGAACTTCTCAGAACGGTGGATATTGACAATATCACTATCCGTGCCGGGCCTTTCCACTAATACCAATGCCATGGCGACCAGGTCCCAAAACACCCTGGCCCATGGGTCATCATGACTCTCCTCAGCTCATTGTCATGAGCCACTTGGTTAATGAAGTTGGTCAAAAAAAGGTAGAGCCACCTGGAAAGTAAACAGGGGCAAAGGCGCAAAGGGATTGTCATACTCAATGCCTGCCCAAAGACTTCTCAACCTGCCTCGACATCCCCTTTGGAGCCTCCTGTGCGCAGCAGTAGGCAGCATCTGGCTGAGAATGTTTGATGTGAAGGACTACGGGGCGGTTGTACAGTTATACAAAAAACTTACAGCAAAAGTGTTTATTTTTGTTTTTTTTAAACACTTAACTTATTTCAACAAAAACACACATAAACACACCAGGGAGCAAACAAATGGTTGGGGATTGCGCTTTTTGACCTTGACATGATGGAGTTGAGTTGAACACAATATTGGTGGGCTCAATTTTGGCCTATTATCTAATCTTAGATTTGCCTAAAAGAATCCAATAGACTCTTGACACACCAAACTCCCACAAACGTGTTCATGAGGCCCAACCTGTCAGTACAGAAATCGGCCTCAATGATTGCAACTGGCTAGCATGTAACAACATGAAATCACATGAAATACACCTATTTGCCAGGTGGGTTGGTTTTGCAACGCACTGGACTTCCTCCGATCAGAACTTCCAGGGCCTCTATGTTGGGAGCAACTCCGCACCTGCAACCGTCCTCCTGTTGTGGACCATGTGGAATCGGTCAGGGTTTGTCGGGTCTCACAGTAGTACACCCAAACATATAACAGCAAAACCGCAGAACACCCCACCTCTCATTTAACTTCCTAAGGTAGGGTGCATGATCCCTGTGCAGGGAAAGGGCTTAACTTAGGAACCAATGCAAGGACTGGACAAATCGTTCCATGCTCCCATCCTAGCCGTGCTGTCCTGGTTATTGCCAGGCCCAGTGGACACTGCAAAGCTAATGCTGTTGAGCCCAGCATCGTTGCAGAATCGGGTTCGGTCCTCCAAGTTGCTGGGTCTCATGCAACGAGTTGGGCACCGAACACGCAGGAGCGACCCCCAAACACGCGGCCTCCAAGGTCACACTGATTTAGGCGACCCCCGTTTTGCTTGACCATCAATGTGCAGAACTCTGCAAAGAATAAGAAAGAAGGTCTCAATCTGTTATGGTTCCGGCAAAGTATTTCTATTATCTGTCGGTTATCTGTATTGAGCAATACAACTCAATCTGTTCAGAATCTGTCTCAAAGTATTGCTGTGGTGGTCCTCTACCTTCGACTGCTGGAGTTCACTCGAATATTGCTTGTGAACCATGGAGTTGCCCATGCAAATGCACCCAACATCACCCAAGTAAATATATACCAATATATACCGTATTGCGTATACAATATCATACAATCTATGGGGCTCGCTTTTGGCTTAAGCGACTGAAGAATGTGGCCCGCCATCGTCTGGATCCGTGCGGCAGGATTTGCCCGGCAACATTGAAACACACTGATCACCATCCGCAGTCTTTTGGTAGCTGAAGCTAGGATCCAATACCTGATAGATTGATCGTTCAACGACAAATCGTCATTTTACATGATTTTACCCATACGCTGACATTTTTTGCTCTTCGCTGCACTCCTCCATCAAACCTCAGTGTCCATGCCCCGTCCAGCGTTGATCGGGTGTGAGACTGAAAGGTGTGAAAATCTCCCCTGCCTCCAAAGCACATTTGTAGAGAATGGGAGGCACAACTTCTCAAAAAACAATCTGTGCCCAGCACTGAGACTGTGCTCCTCGAACGCAAATCCAGAGTTGGCTACATCTGCAAAGCAAAAAAGTCATCACACATCCTCCAGTCAAAACGTCGTAGAACTAACAACTCAAGAACTAACGAAACTCGAAATTGTCTGTGATGTGGCGTCTTGTGACATCTTCCTGTCTGCTGAACCCCAAGCCAGCGCGACCTCCAAGCGTCACACCCAGCTGTCGTGCCGCCTGCCAACCACGTTCCTGGCGCTGGAGTGACGGCAAGACTTGCTGAAAAGCTGCCCATGCATCAACAACATCGCAGTTTCACTAACAGTGAGTGAGCCATAGCAATTCAGTTTTGATCACTTGCTGGTTCTTGTCAGGATTGCGCATTGATGTGCATTGCACATCACACCGGTACAAATAACCAGAACAGGAGGGCTAAGTTAAGCTAAAGTACAGCTATGGCTATGAGCCTTTGAGATTGCTCAAAGCCTCAAAGTTGCTCAAACTTCGGTAGCTCTTCTGTGATTTGTCTGAAGGAAAGCCACAATGATTCTCCATGCGTCCAAAACAACTCTGTTCTCACTCGACGACCAGCCCTTCATCTGTGAGAATTCTGAGCAATCCAAGTCATGACGCAGCAAGTGAACCATAACCAAATGTTCCAAAATATCACTGTAAGAAAAGTTAGAAGAGTTTCAATTCATGAAGGGTACCAGACCAGGTCTGTGTTGCAAACTCGCTTCACATCTTCTGAACCCGCGCTTTGCAAAAGCCCACAGCTGCCCCCCTTTTCTTCGGCGCCACCCACATTGTCGGCCCTGGTGGTAGTTGGCGCCTCAGCGAGTCCAAATCTTAGTCATGGGGACATCAACGATTGAAATGGGAGAGAACCTTTCTCCGAGACAACCCCGCTACACACCCCTGACTTGCAGCCACAGCACTTCGCCGTCCGCTGTTTGTAGGCGCCTGCCGCTCAAGGATGGCAGGGATCTTCTTCATATTCATATTTCATGTCCGTCCTCATTAACTCACATTTTTCTCCAGGGTGGCTGATCAAAGCAGCCTTGGGGGCGGGAGATGAAGGATACACCTGTCCATGGAGCGAGGCCTGCAACTGAACCACCCACCCACAAGACTTGGCCGCCTCCATTGAGCTTCGCACTCCTCAGGGCAGGTATTGCCTAAGCGACTGGCCACCATCATCCAGTCGCCCACGTCACACTCCTCGCATGCCTGGCACCGAGTGCAACCGCTTCAGTGTCACTATCTAGTGAATCTATATACATGAATCGACTGGGTTGGGTTTGTGGGAGGAGGTCTGCAGACTCTATCAAGGGTTTGCCAAATTGATCAATTGCACCATATACTGTAGCTAGTCTAAGCAGCACCTTCCATCATTGTTTTCCAGAACTTTCTAGAGTTGGTGCTGGTGATACTTGGCCTTTGGCCGGCAATGGGATTGACAAACTTCGTATCGGCTGACCAAAACGTCAAGACATCACACCTCACTAATCACTAATCGTCATTGCCTCTGACTCTAGTCACAAATCATCTAGATTCTAGGTCAAATCGCCACTAGCACCCACGGTCTGAGCAAAAGTTTCCTCCCCCAGCGATGGATTCACCAGCAATGGTCCTGAAGTTCTGACCCCCGATACACCAATTGCAAAGCCTATGGGCCTATGGCAATGGTCAATGTAAGGGCGACGTCCGGCTGCCCATCATCTATAACTTCACCTTTGTCCTCGAATTCTAGCAAACGTTGAGTCAACCAGCATCGTTCATGAAGATCCGACGTCCAAGTATCAACACCGATGATGCCTTATATTGCAAGAATACGCAAGAATTATCTATATTATTTCATTCCTCCTCGTTGTGGAACCCGCACCTCCCGTAACCGCTCCAGCTCCTTCGGCGACCAGGGCAAATCGCTAGCCTCGGCCTCTGTGGAGGGCACAATGCATCGCAAAAAGGGTCCGCACAAAAATGCTCAAACTTCCAAAGTGGTGAACATTGGGAAAGCCTTTATACCAGTGGTCTATAGTAGTGGCTCTACAATGTTGTAAATAATGAGCCTACCATCATACACGTCATACACTATATACGCTATATAGAGCTTGTTTTCCGAGGGTGTTTCAATCTCAGTTGCCAACAAGAGTTTCTGTACTTGGGTTTGGGCCCACTAATCAAGTGCACGGCCTCTGATCGCCATGATCTAGTGGAACAAAACCCTTGGATTGCAGGTTTGGTGTCGGTGGCAGTTGACCGGGTTAGCCAAATTGACTTCCAACCATGGTAGATACAGATTGACTGCATACTCCTCCTAGGACTTTCAAACGCGTATACTGTATAGTAAGATCTAACTTATATAACCAACGAGTGCTCCCTACATGCGTTGTGCAGCGCATCATACATAGGTGGACCCTCAAGTCAACCGCAACGAAAGCAATCGCCTCTGAGAGCATATGGCTGGCAAAGCAACCTCAACGGCACGCAACATCGTGAAACACCCCAGCTGAGATTCTAAGCTTCATCGGCATTCAGCATGTGTCTCCAGAAAACTTCCTGAAGGACAAGCCGTTACAAACCTATCAAGCAAAGGCTGCAAAGTTCAGGGATGAAAGCTAATTCCAAGATTACAGCCTTCGTGACCACAAAATCAACGACAAAGTACGAGTAGTTGTATGAATCCGCCAAAAGTCACCTTCACTTGGGAAATATGCACCACTCGGCCTCTGAGCGGTCCATTGGGAGGAATCCACTTCACAATTCTGAGAACCCTCATTAACTTATCTGAAGGCAAGGCACCTCTTTCGTGACGGAACCGGAGTAGATTGCAACAGCTACCCGATTTGTTCACCTCCTGTACCGGCAGGTTGGTGGTCAAAGTATGCCAAACCGCAATTGTAATCCTCTGCTACTTCATGATATTCAATGGAAATGGTTGGAGTGGGTGCCAGTGCCATAATGTGCCATATACTCAGGCCACCGAGAGACGCCAGGAGCCTTCCAACGGCTTCCCAGTGCAGTCGGCGATCCTTGCTTTCCACGCGATGGGGCGGGTTGAACATTGTTCGAGCCTGTATGTGTGAACCTTTCTCTTGAACATGATTCTGAGGCCTGTGAGTTTCTATATTCTTGGCTCACAAAGTCATGCTTTAAAGTGGTTTTAGTAAGCCAGGCTATCTGCTCATTTGACCCGCTTGGAGAGCAATCCAATCTTTTCCTGGCTAATCAGTCATCAAAAACTGACCCAGAGGTCAAGCCGCTGATTGAGGTAAAGGCTTCCCCCATGCTGTGCTCGAGCTCGCTTCATCGCTTCCTCCTGCGAAGCGCTTAGGCGCAAAAAGCTTTAGATCAAGGGACCTGGTCGACAAGGGCAGGCTGCCGTACAAATTGAACATGCCGCTCCTGAAAAAAGCCTCCATGCACACCGTCAACTAAAGCATGGCATGTAAAGGATGTAACATCTATGAAACACTGACCCCTTTCTGGTGATAGTATCGTTGTGACTTGTTGCCTTCTAGCAAGGAGTCTTGTTTCTTCATCTTTTCTTCAATGTTCACCCTCCAAACTGGAGCTTCTCTTCCGGGAGCCAAGCTGACAAACCGAACCTCCACTTCAGTGGTTGGCGCGTGGGACTTGTGCACCACATGATGAAGGTACTGAATCAAACAATTGGCAGGGCCTTGGTGGACGAACCGGTGGGCCGCACACCTGCACCTCGGGGCCCACTAGGGCAGGCTAGGGCAGGTGGGCCCCTCCAAAGTCACATCTTGACCCATGTTGTGTTGGGGATTGGATAGGAACTTGGATCAAAGCCCACCTCTAGTCTCTGGGCCAGCCCAGATGGCAAAAACCAGCTTTGATATTGCTGAAGTGAGAGTGGTACTCACAAGAATCACACGGAATTGCTGCAATTCAAGCAAAACTGATGGAGCACCATGGGGCACCCTGGTAGCGACACTGATGAAGCTGTGTTGTCTTTCAAGACAATCCACGGCCTGAAACTGAAGTTCGGTCAGGGTCATCCCACAACCAAACCATCCAAAGGCTGAAGGATGCTCCAGGGCACTAATGCACGGCACATCCTCCTCGTTGCTCCTCGGCCCGGCGGTCATCTGTAGGTGGCTACCAATGGCTCAGCTGTCTCTCCGGGTTCCTTTAAGACAACGGCACCGCGGCTTGTGGAGTGACTTTGTAGGGCAGCTTATGGAACGAGAGTACATATAATTTTCATCCTACAGTAAATTAGCATCTAACCCTGGGTGCAAATTATAGTGGCATAACAACAAACAAGGCCATGTTCTGCCAAGATTCATTGCTTGCATCTTGTTGGAGATGTTCATCCAATCCATCCACTGGCGACAAGAAAACACTTCCGGGTGGAGAAAGGTCTGTCCAATCCATGCCTGATTACAAAATTGCAAAGTGGCTACAAGTGGACGAATGTAGATTATTGATTAATAAGCCCCCGTATGAAAAAGATTTCTCAAACGAGGGTGGTTGATTAATCTACATGAATCGCACGAAAACCTCTATCTTCAAAGGACGTGTGCGTGGAGGGATGGCGCGTTTCAGACTCAAAAGAACTAAAGGCTCCTCTCTGAAATGCAGTGGTGGTCTACACCGAACGAAACAAAAATTGCCTAGTCCGTCTCATCACATCATCCGTCTCATCCTCTTCAACCTGAATTCGCATGAAGCTTTCGTGAAGCTTCACCCGGTCGCATGGGCTGCTGGCCACCCCGTGGCCGGTCGCCTCTGGCCGCTCCGGCAGCAGCTCGCGCAAGCGTCGGCCGTCCAGGCGCGCGGCCACCGAGGCGAAGAGCTCTTGGCGCCTCGGAGGGCAAGCGCGGCCCCGGGAGGGGTGCCTAGGGTGAGGGCATGAGGTGAGGTGAGGTGACCTAATAGCAATGGCCTCCAACCTAAGAGTGATGGCCTGAGATGAGGCGAGATATTAGGTGAGTTGGGATGGTAGATGGGTAAATGGACAGGATGCGCCGCTGCCCTGTAGGTCGCTTCAGCTCGCTGAAGAGGCTCTCTCTCCGTGCTTTCAGACAACAGTTCAGAGTCTTTGCATCTTGGTGGTGGGAGGAGCGGGTACGAGCATGTCTTGAGGACAATCTTCTGAAGCTGCAGGACCCACAATTACTCCAGCTCAAAGTGCGAATTCCTGCTATGCACCAGGGTCAACAAAAGCGAGCAGGAGAACATTCAAGGATTTCAAGGCACTCCACAGGCTGGAAGTGCTTGTGAGGCTGCGGGCATCTGTCATACCGTTCCTACCAGTCCGAGGAAGAGAGTAAACACCAATTGGTTCGACTGTCGCCCTCGCCACTGGCATCGACCCGTCATGCGCGGGCACCACTTCGACCCGTGACCTCACGACCCATGTGGTCAATGGACACCCCCTTCACCTCTGAGGGAACTCCCTTTGGAGGATTACCTCGACTGACTCAACTGCCAATATCAAGGCGCCCCTTGGCGTCCAGGGAAGCTGCCGGGGCTTGATATTCCTCCTCGCGGCGGCCAGAGTCATGTCCACGTGACCTGGAGTCTGCCAACGGCAATCAACTGGATGGCCATGTTCTTGGTTGCTGGATTGGCGTAAAATAATGTAAAATATGGTCAACTCAATGAACAATGTATCGACACAGCTGTTCATTCGGCTTTTGGTGTTGTTGATAAAGCCCGTGCAACTCCTGGCGCATGGACTTGGCACCGGTCACTCGCCAAGTCAACTGGGCTCCTGGAACTTGTTCTCCAAAAGCTCTGCATGGATGGCCTCGTTCTGCCCAAAAAGGATCTGTCACGAAATGGAACATCAACGGTCAAGGAGGAAGGATCAGGCAGCAACAACAACAACAACAGCAAGACGGAAAGGATAATCCTCTGCTCAATTGTTTAGACTTTGGATGGAACATCAAGTCTAAACATATTCTAAACATATATTGGCGGCTTAGAAGGCTTCTCAAAATCAACAGCGAGTGAATGCGAGTGCTCTCGGATCTTCTCAGATCTCAATGCTGATTTAGGGAATGCCTGAAGGAAAAAACACAACACGTTCCCCCGTGAGGTTTCCACAAATCAACCATCAACCTCATCAGGCCAGGGCTTCGGCTGTCTTGAACGCCCGAAGAAACCCAGGTGGCGGGTTAGAGAGAAACACACGGCACCATCGGACCAATATGGCTTTCAAGCACCAGCGCGAGCAGACCTCGGGGGGGTCTCACGTCGAAGTCGATTAGCCCCTCCCGAAAGTCTCACCCGAATCAGCAGGTGTGGGAGATGTTTCAACGGATGCAGGAACGTACAAAGCAGTATGAACACGACTTAAAAACAACGCAGGAATGAATATATAAACTGCTTCAGTGGATCTCAAGCAGCCATCATACATGGAACCAGGGGCACTACTTCTTGTTCAATCTAGTTCAATCTTCTAAACCACTGGTTGCCACGTCGTGCACGGTCGTCCAACACAATCCAGGACCGCCCTGGAGCTCGTCTTCGGTCGCTCCTCAAACCCAAAAACCAAGCCCTCGGTACCTGAGAACCTCGGTGCCTGATGACTCTTGATGATACTTCAACCCCCAAAGCCTGAAGTTCACCGGTTTTACAATTCACACAGGGGTGTGTGTGACAAAATTTTTTGTACATATATTCATCATTATTCATCACGAACCTACCGAGTCTACCACTTCTTACAACCGTGCACCAAGAGGGCGATCCACCGGTTCTCCGTTTCGTCGGTGGAGCGCTGAGCGCTCCCGGCACGCTGCAAGCGCTGCACCTCGGAGGAGGTCCAGTCTGACCTGCGGCAAGATGCGGCAAGCGAGGAGGGTGGTGTGTTGGTGGACACCTCTTTGAAGGTATTCACAAGAAATGCGAATCGAACCGAATGAACATACTATATGTATCTACAATTTTGGTTCCAGTTCGTTTTTCCAAGCAAGGCTCTATATTGTTTGGGGGATGAGTGGGGCTATAGATTAACAGTTGAGTGTGAGGATTTAGGAGCTACAGCTTGGCAGGGGGGCGAATCAGTCATCTCCTCAAACACTCCATCAGTAGCAAAGCCGCATCACCACAGGGAAACTCTTGCAAAGGGAAAATTGTAGTTGACGCCCCTTGAAGAATGATAGCACCAGCCTATATATATATATATATACACACCGATGAGACAGTTGATGAGGTGATTCTTTTTTATTGCGCCAGGTTTAGGTATCGGTATCAGGGCATTCAGGTGTGTTGCGCCATCTATGCGCCCCGTGGCTTAAAAAAGGAAGATTCTCCATGATTCTGCGACCTATTTTGCAGAAAATAAATGAAAATAGCGGAGATTAAGACCGCGCCATCTTTTGGGCCTCCGTAAGAGGAAATCAACAGGAATCAAGAGGACATTAAATTAATAGGATTCAAAAGGAATCAACAGGAAATCAAAAGGAATCAAAAGGACATGACTAAGTTCAAGAGGAAATAATAAGGAATCAAACGGAAATCAACAGGAATCAAAAGGATATCAAAAAGAAATCGAAAGGAACTTACTACAAAAGGAAATCAAAACGACATCGCAAGGACATTAAAAGGAAATTAAAAGGAAAGCAAAAGGAAAATAACAGGATTCAAAAGGAAAGCAAAAGGAATCAGAAATGTACAGAACTTGGCCATTGGGCCATCTATAGCCCCAAACGTTTTTTTTGGGGGGAAATAGGGAAACTAGAATCCGCACAAACATCCCGCATAATTTTAACTTTCTGCACTCCAAAGACCAGTTGCGCCATCTGTCATCTATGACGGCCAAATAGCGAGAAACGGAGATACAGTACATGGCGCGGCTGTTCCCGCTATTTTTTGAGTTGCGCCAACAACTTTCCAATCGGAGTATATGTATGAAAGAGATTGAAAGAGTAGTCAAACGCAAGGCCCGATTTTCCAAAACCCCCGTTTGGCTCGGGTTCTCTCACCCAGTCCAATTTCACAGCATCCCACCCCATCGACCACCCACAAAATCATATATACATCTCCAAACTATCTAAGACTGTTTAAAACATCGTTGAAGAAGATTTGATAAAGAATAACATGGCTCTCCTCATGTCACCAACTTTCAATCCGACTCCCACACGTCCCACGTCTCGACGTCTCACCTCACGTTGAGTGCTTGGAGATGCCGGGCGTTGAAACACCAACGGCGTCGTGCCTCAGCGTTGCCTCGGGGGACCAGCGGACCTTCTTTCAGGGACTTCCCAGGAACCAGGGCCTGGGCCATGTTTTACTTCCATTGTTATTGAAGGGAGGGCTATACACTGGCCAGAAGAAAGTTGCGCTTGTTGATGTTGAAACTCATGACA